CTTCTCCCGCTCCGCTTTCAGCTCCTTCTCCAGCTGCTCCAGCTCAGTCTTCTGCTTCAGGAGCTGATTATACCTGCACACACACACCCTGGTCAGTGTGTTTAGGTTTAATACGCTGCTCCTGGTTTTCAAAATGATCAGGAAGAGACTCGGTGGTCATTTGTGCTGATTCTGGCTGTTTATACGTATGATTTATTTAAAACGGCAGATTTATTTAGAAACTAACTGTTCATGAAGGGATCATTAAATCCCTGACTCAAAAGACAAAAGTGGAGAGCATGCCTATTGGGACGCACCCCTGTGACCCTACACTGGACAGGCGTGTTGAAGACACAGGTGTAAAGTGATTAGGTCTGTCAGCGCAGTGGTGTGGGTGTAGGGCAGTTCTCCACCTGTTCTCCAGGCCGCGGTGCTGCAGCTCCAGGCTCTTGTGTCCGCTCTTCAGCTCTCCGTGTCTGCCGATCAGCTCCTCATACTCGGCCGCCTGTCGCTCGTGAAGCGCTGACAGCTTCTGGTGGTCGCGCAGCAGCAGCTCATACACGGACCGCAGATCCTCCTTCTCCCGCACGGCCGCATCTCTCTCGCCCTCCGTGCCGGACTGCAGCGTCTGCAGCTGAGCATTCTGGGACATCAGAGAGGCGCTCTGCGAGTTCAGGGTCGAGTTCTCCACCTGTGAGCGAAACCAATGCAGGTCAGAGCATGGAGAAGCCGCAGCTGAGGGTGGTGGCGGTGGACGGAGAGCTCACCTGCAGTTTGGCGTTCTGCGTCTGCAGCGTGGTGTTGTTCTCCTGCAGGGATGCGGTCTGCCTCTGCAGCGCCAGGATCTGCGCCTGCAGGTTACTGCTCTGAGTCTCCAGCTGCTTCAGCTGCGTCCGCAGGGCCTGCCGCTCCGCCTGGAGAGTGGCGTTCTGCACAAACACCAACAGCGCTCACTGTGCTGGTCAACAACACTCAATATAATCGGTGTGACCGCCGCGGCTCAGTGCGCATATGCAAATGAAGGTTTTTCTGTTTTGCATTTTAATTTAAATATTGCACTTTTCAGATGTCTGTGTGTGCGGATGCTGTACATACGTTTCTCTCCACCTCGATGAGCCGGTCTTTGACCCTCAGCAGCTCCCTCGTGGCCTCCTGGCTCTCCTTCTCCCAGCGGCTGAAGCTCAGGTCTTCCCGACCCCGCGCCGGAGAGCTGTGTGCTGAACTCTCCTCCTCCTGACGCTGACGCAGAGCCTCATAGTTCTTCTTCACCTGAGGGGAAACAGGGTGAGTGTGCACAATCTCAACACACACACACACAGAGCGTCAGGGCAGGGGATCAGACCGTTTTGAGCTCCTGCCGCAGCTGCTGGTTCAGGTTGCAGGACTCCTGCAGACGGGCCTCCAGCGCTGCGATCTTCTCCTCTTTAATCTCGAGAGACGACCTCAGCGTGGACTCCAGCTTACTCTCCAGAAGCTTAAACCTACACACAACAAACACACAATGATGACCCAGCGATACACAAACCACAGCATTACCCAAACAGTTCAGCAAACGCTGTTGTCAGGTCAGTTCTGAGATCAGCAGTAAAGCCCCTGAAGGCCAGAGGGCGCTCTCACAGAAACTACAACACCAATGAAGAAGAAATCCAGGACTGCCGCAGCTGCTGAACGAACTGCTTTGACTAATTCACCTTCTCAGTGAACTACAGCTCTGCTGCTCCATCTGAAACCCCCTGCTGGGGATTTACAGGAAGCGGAGGACACCTCCTTCCTCAGCTCTGAGCCCCCGTGCCCTGCTCTTCAGTCAGGTTTGATGATTGTCTTGATGATGGCCTATCGGGGGTTGAACAGGTCAGTGGGTGTAGAATGCAGGTGTGTGTTACCTGTCATCGGAGCTCTCCTCATCGCCCAGAAGACCCTCTTTGTTGAGGCCGATCTTCTCCAGCTCGTGGGTCAGCTTCTCCAGGTCATTGTTGATCTGCTGGGTCTTCAATTTCTCGTTGACCAGCTCCTACATGAGGACAGAGCACAGCAGAGGTCAGTCATGCGCATCCGGCCTGCAGCTCATCTACACTCTGCTCTTTACCTCTCTCAGAGCTGCCAGAGTCTTCTTGTCGATGGTGGACTGCTTGACCAGCTCCCGGTTCTCCTTCTCCAGCTCCTTCAGTCTCCCGCAGATGTCTTTAAGAGCGCTGATCTCCTTGCCCAGACTGCGGTTCTCCTTCTCCAGCTGAGAGATGCGCAGGTTGTCCTCGTCCAGCTTGGAGTCCTTGATGTCGGCCTGCTGCCGCAGCCGCTTGTTCTCCTTCTCCAGCTGCTTCTTGTCCTTCTCCAGCTGCGTGTTCTCCTGCTCCAGAACCCGGTTCTCCTGCGCCAGCGGCTCCAAGCCTTTGCTGGATATCTTCAGCTGCTCCAGGCTCTGCTGCAGGCTCTGGTTCTCCAGCTCCACCTCCTGCAGTTCTCCCTCCAGCTGCTGGATCTTGCGGGTGCCGTTCTCCAGGGCTTTCTGCAGCCGCTGGTTCTCCGCATCCAGGCTTTGGTAACTGACCTCCAAACGCTCGTTCTTCTTGGCGGAAGCCTTCAGCAGCTCCAGACTCTTGCGGAGCTGTGTCCTCTCATCCTCCAGCTCTCGGTTCTCCATCTCCAGCTGTTCTGCTTTGGCTCCAGTGGACCGCAGAGACTCCACCACGCGCCGGAGCTCCAGGTTCTCCTGGTCCAGCTGGGTATTGTCCTTCTCCAGAGCCTCCAGCTGATAGGAGGCGTTCCTCAGGCTGTCCAGGGCTTTCTTCAGTTTCCTGGCCTCGGCCTCCAGCTGTGTGTTCTCCTTCTCCAGCACCTCCACCTTCCCGCAGGTGATGGTCAGCGTTGCCAGCTTCTTCTGCAGGCTCTCCTTCTCTCGCTCCACCCGCCGCAGCTCCAGCTCCAGCTCCTCCGCCCGCTCCGCTCTCTCCTTCTGGAGCTCCAGCTCTCTGCGCAGCTGCTTGCTCTGGAACTCCAGCTGGTTGGCTTTGCTGCTGGTCTCAGAGATGGACTCGTGCAGCAGCCGGTTCTCCTTCTCGATGTCTTTGACTCGGGCTTCTGCGCTGACCTGCGAGCGCTGGCGGAGAGTGGAGATGGTCTGCTTCAGGTGTGTGTTCTCCTGCTCCAGACCCTTCACCTGCCACACACAGAACAAGTTAAAGGAGACTGAAGTCGGACACGTTCAGAACTGCAGAGGCTGACCCTGATACAGTAACTCAGCTCTGCCGCTGCTGCAGTGATGCTGTGTTGGTGCTGAACATGCAGTAATCTGGTATTTATTTCTACATAATCCAGCAGCACGAACACACCGCTGATCTGCTGGCCGTCTGTCTGCCTCTACCGCCAACATCTACAGGCGGCCTGCAGCGTGTCTGAGAGCGCTCCACTGATCTCCAGCAGCTGGATCCAGCACAGCCAACTAGCCGAACACAGTGACCTGGTCCGAGGAGTGGATCTGCTCTATTCTGTGTTAGTGCGGGTTCAGGACAGATTTACAGGGTGACTGCGGTGTGTGTGAGTCTCGAGCGCACGGGTATATTACAGTGAGTGTGAACAGCCTGAACCGCACCGTCCCCCTCCGCACCGCTGCAGATCACCAGTGCTGCGCTTCATCTGCAACACCACTTACTGCTAAAGTAAATGACATGACCAGCATCCAGCATTCAGCAGGCAGAACTCACCAGCGTCACACCCATCACCACAGCCTGAGCGGGACGAGCAAGAACAGAGCAAGAACTGAAGTGTTGATGACACGCCACACTGAGACTATTGCAGACATCCAAACAACGAGCAGCACACTGCCCTGACTGTGCAGGATATTCTGCAGTGTGTGTGTGTGTGTGTGTGTGTGTGTGTGTGTGTGTGTGTGTGTGCGTGTGTGTGTGTGTGTGTGTGTGTGTGTGTGTGTGCTGTACCTGTCTGTCTGCGT